ATATTTCTTTTATTTCAGACATTTCCCATACACAAAAAGCACCCTCTATGAAAATCAAATAATAATTAATATATTTAATCAGCGTTGATGAAAAATTTTATAATTAAAAAATTAAGAGTTGTATTAGATAGTTCTTATAACAAAACAAAACCTCACCAAGTTTGTGTTTAGCACCTTCAACGGGATAAGAATCAGCATCTTCAGCTGAATAAAAACCACCTTCAGAATCTCTTAGATCTCTTTCAACATATGTTACAATATCACGTGCCACCTTTAAAATTTAGTAACTTGAGTAAAGAAATGACATGAAAATATCGATTTATGAATCTGTATGTATGTACCTCAGCAAAATATTGATCTTTCGTGATAGAATAAGCTTCGACAAAGCTCATCAGCAATTGCGCTTGATCGTAAAGCTATACGAATTTACTGTTAGATAGTAAAGAAAAGATTTACAATAATATCAAATAGTAACCTACCATTTTCTCAAAATGCGGGACATGCCAATATTTATCTGTTGAGTAACTATGAAAAAAAAATGAAAATGACGCATAAATTGCAATACAACTTAATATTTAGTTGCACATATTAAAATTAATGCTTTCGTACCGATGAAATCCATTTCCGACGTGATCTTTTTTTTGCATAATTTACAGTTCATTAAAATAATATTCAGGTATCGTTACAAATTACAGATATTTTATTTTGCAAAACGTACCATGAATCCCACCCATAGCAATTTTCTAAATAAATAATATTATTATATTAACGAATATGTTTTATAAATTTTGAAACATTAAAAAAAATATATATATTTAATTAATCACCTTTAAAGTGAATGTAACCATTTCTAAACATCTTTCTGCAACTTGTTTACGACTTGTCACGACCGTTTTAAGTTTGTTTAAAAACTGTGCTTCATTGTCACAATCCTTAAAATCGACACCCAAAACTGCACCACGACTACGAATTTCATTTATTGACATTATAGCAAGTCTTTCATCCGCTCTGTCAATGTCCGCAAGTATATAATAATAGTAACGAAGTAGAAAATGAAATTGAACTGGAGTCGGGAACTTTGGTTCACCTAAAAAATTTTAATAATATAATTGTTGATTAATAATTAGAGTTTAATATGATATAATAATTTCATAACTTTTACCATCAAATCCGCCTAGTTCACCATCAAATCTAGTATCGAAATAATGATATAATTTTTGTGATATTTTCATATTTAGTTCTGCAGACTTCGTGCTACTTTCTCCTTTAGACTACATTTAAAATGACAAAGTACTTTAATAATTTACATAATAAAATTAGACAATAAAAAAAAAATGCCAAAAATAAATAGTTTAGTTAAATTTTAACTACTTACTGTTGTGTATTCTCGAAGTTGCTCTAGTGCATCTGTACCGGCTTTTTTTAAGTTGTCAGGTTGTTCCTTCCACCTAAGAATTTTTACGCAAATAATTGTAAAATAAAGCCCTACTACAAGTTATTAATTAACGAGTATTATATTACTCACAATTCAGCCATCCGTTTGAGCAATGAGGCAAAACCAGTCCTAAAGATCAAATAATAATGTAATTATTTGAAATTTAATAATAACCAAAATGAATATAATTGATAAGAAGACTACCTGCCATATCGATCATCTGGAGGAAAATAGGTTCCACCGAATACGGCTGGAAAAAAAAATAATAATAATAATACAACATATAACAACGATCAAAATGGATGAGTTGAATAAAGTATTACATATTTATACTCACGATATAATTCGGGCTATAACAAACATTTCACACATATATTAATAATTGACTAAAATTAACAGTATTTAAAGCATTTATTATAAAAACTTACGGTTAAGAAAACCGACATTGGCCATCCTCCACTTCCAGAAATGGATTGCACAAAGAGCTGAAAGCACATGAACGTATTAATATTGAGTGAAAGATAACTAAAGGTAGGGTTGACACATTTATTCATTGAGATGAATAGAGAACAGCTCCATTGACTTTAAAATTTTTATTTTAATTCTATCTTAATTAATAGAATTAAATAAAAAAATTTTGATTAGGTATTTTATCAAGATATATTAGAAAAAATTTAAAAAATATAAGCTGAATTTAAATTTTATTTATTTTTTCTAATTCTACGAATTAATAGAATTAAATAGGTAATTGTTAAGAATCTTTATTCAAAATCTGAAGATTTTATTTAAATATATGATTATCTAATGGAGCGAATAGATCTGTTTCCATTGATAAAATTTTGCCAATGGATAATATCCATTGTCGACCCTGATCAAAGAGTAAATAACAATATTTGTCATACCATGTACATACGATCCACATCAGGATGCGTTTCTCTTTTAAATAAATTATATAAACATGAGATTGTAAAACAAAATTAAAGAATTACAAGGATATATTAATCAATACCTGTCGACTACCCAATTTAATAATAATAATAATTAACCAGCGCCACATTGTAGAATAGATTCGGTATAATACTATAAATTACAGCATACCTTTCACATTCACAAAATGTTCGTTCATAATCTTTGCAATAGCCTCATTTTCGAACGATTCATGAGCCTAAAATTCAAAATTTGTGTATAGAAAACACTTGACACGATATTAAGACTTTAAAAACACGTTATAATAAAATCGTACCATGACATGGCACCAACTTGCAAATCCCAACAGATAAATGAATCACGTCGTGGATGAAAAAAAATAGATGAGAACAATTTAAAATATAGAAGATAATTGACAATTAGGTAAATATACATACTGGCAAGTACTATAACCAACACTTAAGAAAATCAATTTATTTTCTTTTCGAGCTTTTTCAAAAGCTTCTTCACCCCATGGATACCAATCAACTACAAATATTATATGTTCAATTATCAAAACATAATAAATGAAAAAAGATCACAAAATCAAAATTTTACCAGGATTATTTGCATGTTGCTTAATTTTTCATAAAACAAAATTAAAGTTTATATATTCTTTTTAACAGAATTTAAGGAAAATTAATAATTCATACCAGTAAATAAGGGCTCTTCTCTTTTGAGAGCCTATTCAACTCACTCTCCATTACAGGTTTATTGTCGGTCGAATAGTTACTACTACTTGAGCTAGTCGCCATTCTAAATAAATTTGTTCTAATAATGCTACTTTTCAAAGTTACTTTTTGATTATTATAATGGAAAAATAATGAATTCTTGTTAATTTTGTCAAGAAATTTAACACTAGAACCAAAAACTCTTTTTTCTGAATTTCTAATTAGAAATTGGAATTGATACAAGAATAAGTTCATCGATTAGTAATTTAAAAAATTGCAAAAGCTTAACATTTAATTAGACATTAGAAATGTAGATCAATTGACTGGGTAACTTATTTATATGTTTAGAATACTTTTCGCGCTAACGCAAAGTACCAAAAGAAAATGTAAACTTGTAAATTATAAGTTCGGGTAAGTTACCAGTCACACGATTTTAATATCATACGTAGTAAATTTATTGTATCGGTATAAAATTATAGATACGTATTAAAAAATATATGAAATGAAATTACTACGTATACGTACAGTTACGTACAATTTTTTTGCTTGAAAATTTTTTTTACTCAAGCCACACAAAATTATATCATTGGTTTTCATATCTCGCACGTGTCAATGAAACAGAGTTTGCAATATATAATTAACCAATAAGGCCAAATACCACCAAAGTTAATTTATCATAATGTACTTAGTTATAATAAGGATGCCAAAGTCTTGACTCTTGATTGATTTATAATATTGATCTTAATATAAACTTTATATCTGAATTTTATATTAAAAACTTTTATTATGACTGAAAAATAATTGCAGAATTATTTAAAAATCGTTTTTTTTTTTTATTTATTTATTTATTTATATGTCCGGTGCCCAGTAAAATTCATCGGACATAAAAGGCTACCAACCCTGAAACCGGATCCAAGCACCTTAAATTAAAGAGATGTATTTGTTTCAAAATAATCTATAAGTTCTATTAAGTGTAAGCTTATTTATATCATTATATTTATCAATGGCGTGTTAACTACATCACACATTTTCATAATTTAAATATTTTCTGATTTAAATTTTAAAATACAAATACTGTATAAAGTTTAAAAATTTTAAAGTTAATTGGTCGATCGCACGCATAGAATTCTTACTTTTTAATTGGTCGGTTAGGGAGACTCGTGATTTTGGACGTTATATCAGTATATTCGTGCATCTACAAAAAAAAACACGTCTTTTATAAAATTAATATGGAAGTTACGGAGGATGAATTGACAGTTCATAAAATTATTTTAGAGCAAGGACCGGTTAGGATTTATTGATTATTAAATTGAATAGCGAATTTGCTTATTAAAAAAAAAATATATTTTTGCTAGGTTTTTGTAGATGAGATCAAGATTCACGAATTAGTTGATTATGAGTTGCCAGATACTTCCTGGGAACAATTACAGATAATATTAGAAAGTCTGCATTCTTTTGTAAGTCTATACGAAATATTTCTTTAGTTATTTAAGTTTGTTACATTCTATATATTTAATAATATCCAGGGATTAGTCAGAAAACGACAAACTCATGACGAAAGGATTTTATATCAAGCTCGTACAAAAGAAATTGCAAAAAAGTAATGCATTTTTTCATATTTTTTTTCTTATATATATATATATATCTGTAGAAAATTGATTAAATATGACAAGTTTAGATTGCAAAACCTTGATGAAAAAGAATTCGAAATATATGAGCTTATAGAAAACTCTGAAAGAAAAGGTGCGAATAATTTAAACGATCGAGAAATTTTGTTTGGAAATGCTAATTAATTAACTATATGTTAAGGTATTGCAAAGTCTGAGATCCAAAAGCAGACTAAGATTGTACAATCCATAGTTGAAAGTAGTTTAAAGTCCATGCAGGATCAACAACTGGTTAAAGAGGTCAAACCAAAGGTAATACTTTCTTGTAAATTGTTATTAATTGATTATTACTATTATTATTATTAAACTTAATTAATTGATTTTTGTGCTGATATATATATTTTTTTAGAACAAAAAATTGTATATGTTATTTGACATTAAACCAGCCGATGAATCTCTTAGCAGATTATTATACAATAATGGAGATGTTGATACATTTGTTGTAGAGACTTTAAAAACTTTATGCTTAAATTTCATATATCACAGAGTTTGTATAAGAAAAATGAGATGTTATTCGCAGTTTATATCTAAGTATATTATTGAAACAGCTTATTTAATAGAGTTTTCCAAAGGACATGGATGAGAATTCAATATATTTTCCTGGCTATACTGGTTACGCGACTCTAACAAAAATTTTACAATGTATACAAGAGTCAAAAGTAATCACTGATGTAGAAGTTGAAGAAGCTGATATACGTCAACTTTTAGATGTTCTTATTTTTGAAGGGAAAATCGTAAAACGATTTTCGAATATAATGCCTGATTCTGATATAATGGATTCTATGGATATAAATCATGAATCTCAAGTTGTATATATTGCAAAAAAACCAAAAGCTGTGAGCAATGCTTGGACTCCCACACCATGTGGCAGATGTCCGGTATGTAATAATTCACAAATGATCGATTTATAGATTAAACTTTGTATTTTACAAAAATTTCGAAATAACTTGTATTTTATTTAGTATTTTAAAGAAGAATGTACTGAGGATGGAGAAATCTCGCCGTCTAACTGCGTTTTTTATCCCCAATGGCTTAACAGAGGTCTTACTATGATGCACGAATCGAATAGGACCAAAGGAAAGGGAAAAAATTACATGGAATGGTGATTTATTTCATTAAGAACAATGGCTAATATTAAATTTCACGAGTTCTCCGAAAAAAATTTTTTTAAATAAAAACCTTAAAATATATTTTTTAATTTATTGATATTTTTATACTTTTTTTAATTTATCAAAAAAAAAAAAACTTTCGTTAGAATCGAAAAGTTTAAAATAAAGATTAGAATTAGAATTTCGAAAAGTTTAAAAAAAAAAAATTTTTTTTAAAAAAGTTGGAATTTCGATTCGAAAAATTTCTAAAAAAAATAAGAATTTCGAAAAGAAAAAAGGTTTTTAAAAAAAATTGAAAGAGTATAGTATATCCCAAACTTCATAATTCTGAATATTTGCCGAATATAATTTATTTCGAAAAAGTAACCTTGATTATGCATAGCAAAAAAAGAATAGTTGTTAATTACGCGTTACATGATCTATGATTGGATTCGTTACGTGATTGGATATGTTACACTATAAATCGGCGCTGTAAAACAAAAAAGATTTATTTAATTTATCAAAATTGTGCTTTAACGAAGTTTTCATGAGAAATTTACTATATAAATGTGCAGTCCCACGCCCGATTGTGCCCATCTCTACTTGTGACCCTGCGACCCCTTTCGGTTGATGTTTGCAGCATGAACTCTGGATAACTGCTTTGATGGCGTGCACTAGTTTCTATTATATCTTCTCATTGTCACCGACTCTATGATGATTGCTGACCAGTTGCTATAAAATCAAAGTCTCTTAGCTATTTAGTATGCTTCATTAGCTATTTAGTATCGGTATGCTTTCGTTAAATTGTTAAAGTAATTAATCTTCAATTTATTTTTTAGATATCATAAATGGAATGAGCAATTTGTTATTCATTATGTATTTTTCAAATTCAAAATCTTGCTTCACCAGTAAAAGCCAAACCCACTGACAGAAGCTTAATTGGACAAAAAGTAAAATTTAAAGTTAGTTTAATAATATAGTAATTTTTTTTTCGGTACATTCTTATAATAGCCTAACCTAGATTTATATTAATCATGTGTTGAAGAATTGGGATATCCACAAGCAAGCCTATAATTATAACGTATATGGATTAGACTGGAAAGCAAAACGTAATTGTTCAACAAAACGTATCGGTATCGAGCAACAGAAAACTTTACATTATATGTAAAAAATTCAGCACAAAATATTAATTGATAATATCAAACAGCAGCTTTGACTATGAAGAAATCGAAAAATTATTCCTTAAATGAAAATTTAACAAAAAACATTCAAAAAAAATGATCGCTAATATAAAGTTGGTAATAGAAATTAAGGAGTACTACTCAGAAGAATTTTTGAGACTGACGAAGAAACATTAATAACAATTTACAAGAAAGTATTACCTTTGGTTTGACCTCTTTAACCAGTTGTTGATCCTGCATGGACTTT